TCGCGAAAGCCTACGTGTTAAACTCCCGCGCCTGGTATGGAGCAGACCGTGGGTTTGAACTCAACCCTGACGCCTGCTGCATATTTGGATTTTGCGTGTCTCTCTCCCCGTTGTCGCGTGGATTTTTTTCTCCGGGTCCTCCGGTTTTCCCCCTCCACATTTAGAAACATGCGTTTAGAGTATGTGGCTGCTATAAATATCCACATGATATGCCACTTCATTAAGCTATCATTTGTGACAACGGTCACTTCTGACAAAGAGCTACATAACTCAGTGGTGGGCTATATCTGGAAAAATAAATTAAGAAAAAAACACTGCTGCGAGGTTAAACCAGCGAAGCTCATTTTAAATCGACTCGTGTCGGCGTCACCCGTCCGTGTTTTTCACAACGATGACACCAGCGCAGCGTTTTGCTCAATAATCTGTGGGATTCTCATCAAACGTAGACCACGAATTTAAGCGTCGTAATTTTGTTGAAAGGTACTCGTCTGACACCTAGTGGTGCGCTTGTGAGTATATGAGGCGTATATTGCCAACATGCTAACCGCCCATGAAATAGATTTATTTTTTACGAATTGTAAATGTTGTGGCTTTTCTGTCCAACACGCCGGGGTGCTGTACTAGTGACGAATTGGCATGTTCTGTTTAGGTGACAACCTTTACTAGTTGATTGTGTCGGGTGGTGGCGGGTTTAACGACACAGGGGGTACTCAGTTGAAACAAAATTCAACAAGGGGGTGTACAGCAGCCAAAAAAGGTTGACAACCACTGGTCTATAATGAGCAGACAGGAAGCCGGGTTGTTTTCATTTAAACATAGTAATAAAAAAGTCCCCTGCATTATTCGGCCTTCCAAACCAATATTTGACATCATTATTTGTTTAAGCAGCCACAACTTTTTGTGAAAGGATTTGCTGAACAAGCTGCCGCTGATTTCCAAGTTTTAGAGGAAAGAACGCTTACAGAAGAAACAAACTACGGGACCCATTCAGAACAAAAACAGCAAAGCCGCATCACTCATTGTCCGCCGTGTACTGCACGCGGAGCAGATTTTCCGTTGAAACCTCTACACGCTGTACTCAACTAAACTTTTTATTTCACCATGAGGTAAGGCCCACTGAGCTACACGTACACTCTAAGCGAACGTTTCTAAATGTAGAGGGAAAACCCGGAGGACCCGCGGAAAATCCACGCGACCACGGGAAGAATGTGCAAACAAATATCCAGCAGGCGTCATGGTCGAGATCGAACCCCACGACCTACTGCATACCATGCGAGGTAGTTAACATCTCACCACTTACGGCGCCCCGGTACAAAAGCAGGTAAATATCACTCCTCCTGTGACCAGACCATGAGCCACAGGCTGCGTGTTCTGAATTCACTTGCAACGCAGGGCTGGAGAGCGATTTACAGGGTGTGCCACTAACATCACCACTACCACGAGCCACTCTCTATCCGCTACAGGATGAATGTTTCACTGTGCCGTCGCTCTCTCCCACAGTTATATGATATCGCAAGCTATCACACGCCTTCACGTGCTAGTACTGCATCTGATCACTCCATCTCCACGGTGGTCGACCCTGCTGAGCTCTCCTCATTGTCAGTCTTGGTCATGCGCAGCGCAAACAACTGCGATCACACTCAGCGGGGTATGGCCCAGTAACAGCAATGCGGGACATCGCTCGCAACAGCAACAGTATCATCATGGCCACCAATCTACGCTGAGCCGTGGACAAATATGAAGATGAGGAATTTACTGTGTAACTATCCTTAAGCCGGGTCCATACCTGATCGATCAGTTGCGAAACTCGGTTACATTAAACTGAATACCTTATGTGTGGACGTCTCTGCAAGCGGTTGCGAGTAGTTGTAAACAAATGTAAAATAAATTTTGATTTAAAGCTTTCGTGACTGCATGGATTCATCTTCTTGGTTCTTTAGGTAAAGTCACGTAGAAGGGAAATAATAAAATAATAAAAATAAAACAAAACAAAATAAAATTGTCACGACGTTTCGGCCACAACACAAGCAGCCGTTGTGGCAGCGTCTTTTAAGCTGGGTAGGAGGAGCAGAGCGCCTTGACAAAGGAGTTTACAGATCAACAGAAGAATTTAACATTGAAGTAGCTAAGTTAATGTGAGAGATTAGCAGGATGTTAAAGTCATAAATTAGCATGTAACTGGGAAATTATATTAAACATTACACTGAAAGGTACTAAGAGATTAGCAGGATGTTAAAGTGAGAAATTAGCATGTAACTGGGAGATTAGCATGATGTTAATGTGAGGATTTAGCATGTAACTGGTCACGGAAGTGGCTATGTTAAAGTCAGAGTTTACATATCAACAGAGGCATTTAGAATATTAACGCTAAAGAACTGCAACTACCCACCTATCATACAATACACCGATGTGAAAGAACTAAATATAAACTACATCAATATAATCAATGTACTCAATATATTCTCAAATAAGTTGAGCTATTAACATTAAGTAACTGGGTATACACTACACTATATAATGAATACCATATAGTAAACTGATAAAATATATATAAACTACATCAATATTATCAATAAACTCAATATACTATCCAATCAGCTGAGCTACTAGCAATAAGTCACTATCCATTACAATTCTATGTCGAAAAAAGTAGCGGCTTCTTTTCAACGTTAGCACCACGGAAAGCGGAGAGCGTTCAGACGGACGAGTCCATCTATGCTCGGAACCGAGGAGGGGGGAGAGAGAGAAACAGCCACGGTGCGCTACTCTGTCCTGTGCTGCGTTACAACTATGCTATAAACTAGACTACTATACATTACAATATTATACCTTCCAATCTAAACTACACTGCATACTATCGTATGAGCTCTAACATTATGCATTATATTGATATGCCTCCAACTAAACTTGTTTCTACCTTACACGACTATACCCCGTACTATACACTGCCATAGACAAACCCCACCATTGAATTATACCATGCGTTACTATACACTACCCTATACTTTAGACTGTAATAATATTGGACTTGTAATATTACACTATGTATTATTCTACCAACCCTACTGTATACCACACTGCTGTATATTCACTATACAATTACGATACTATATATTGCCTTATAAATTATATTAAACATTACACTGTTATACTATTTATTATTATACAAAATGCTATAAACCATATCATTGAACGTCGCGTGAAAGGTACTAAGAGGCAATGCCAGCGAATGGACTGCGGTCTGAAAGTCACCGTAAAACACAATCAATCAAGAAACGAAATGGTTTATCACGTCCTTCCAATGATTACTACGCCAGAATCCATCTGCTTAGTTGAAATTGTCTCTGTGTTTGTATATGTGGATGACCTCATGAGCAAATCACTAATGGTAGCCGGATGGCTTGCAGAGAACCTCCGTCTTGGAGAAGTCAATGTCATGTGAGTCCACTGAATTATAACAGTGATCTGCCACGGCTGAGGTGTTCGTCCTACCGTGATTCATGTCTGCTTTATGTTCACGGATGCGATCCGAGACATGTCGTTTGGTTTCTCCAATGTAACTGAGATCACAGAGGCAACTCAGTTTGTAGACGCCCGGGTACTGCATGTCTGGAACCACATCTTTTACAGACGGGACCAGATCACGGATTTTATGTACTGTGTTGAATCGGACCTGGATCTTGTGTTTATTCAGGATTTTGGAAATCTTTTTTGTGACCCCCGCAATGTAGGGTAAGGTGATGGTTTTGAATGGCTCCTCAAGAGGATCCTTCTTCATGGTTGGAGTGAAGGCTTTGCGGATTGTGTAGTCGGAGTAACCATTACAGTGTAGTTTAGATTGGAAGGTATAATATTGTAATGTATAGTAGTCTAGTTTATAGCATAGTTGTAACGCAGCACAGGACAGAGTAGCGCACCGTGGCTGTTTCTCTCTCTCCCTCTCCTCCGTTACCGAGCATAGATGGACTCGTCCGTCTGAACGCTCGCCGCTTTCCGTGGTGCTAACGTTGAAAAGAAGCCGCTACTTTTTTCGACATAGAATTGTAATGGATAGTGAATTATTGCTAGCAGCTCAGCTGATATGTAAACTCTGACTTTAACATAGCCACTTCCGTGACCAGTTACATGCTAAATCCTCACATTAACATCATGCTAATCTCCCAGTTACATGCTAATTTCTCACTTTAACATCCTGCTAATCTCTTAGTACCTTTCAGTGTAATGTTTAATATAATTTCCCAGTTACATGCTAATTTCTGACTTTAACATCCTGCTAATCTCTCACATTAACTTAGCTACTTCATTGTTAAATTCTTCTGTTGATATGTAAACTCCTTTGTCAAGGCGCTCTGCTCCTCCCACCCAGCTTAAAAGACGCTGCCAAGCTTAGCGGTGTTCACTGAAGCACTGTCTTCCTGACAGTTCTGTTTCTTCACCTGAAAACGTCTGCTTGTGTTGTGGCCGAAACGTCGTGATAATTTTATTATGTTTTATTTTTTATTATTTCCCTTCTACGTGACTTCACCGAACGAACCAAGAAGATAAATGTAAAATAATACAGGTTTTTTTGTGAGTTAGATCGCCTAAATATAAATGTGTCGTTAAACCCGCCACCACCTGACGCAGCCAATTAGTAAGGTTTGTCACGTAAACAGAACGTGCCAATTTGTTACCAGTACAGCACGCCGGTGTGTTGGAGAGCAAATCCACAACATGTACAACCCGAGTCCGATTAGTCATTCAGTGGCATACGATGAAACTGAATGGCTAATCAGTTAAATACTAAAATAGTAGTATTAAATAACTATGTATTAAATACATTTTATAGTATTTAGTATTTAAAACACTAAATTATATTAAATACTATTCCTAGCTGTTAGCGCTCCGCCATCGTCACGCGCTTCATCCCGGTTTAAACCCTGCCCGCGCCGCCTCCTGATTGGCCGCACGAGCACGAGGTCACGCGACAGCCGCTCGCCGATGCTATTGGTCTCGTGGGTGACCCCGCCCCTCCCCCCCCTCCTCGTGGCGTTCCTTCGTGTTGCCCGTTCGGCGCGGAGTGCCGCGTCTCTCGCCGGGGTTGTCTCGCGTTTTGGAACCCTTCGGGTGGCCGCCGAAGAGGCGCCCGCCGCCTCCCCGATCGCAGGCCGGAGCCGGCGTCGCTGCGAGCTTCGCGCACAGAGGTAGAATCCCTCTGTTCTGGCACCGCCCCTGGCGCCGCGGGTCAAGCGGCGCAGCGGTCTGGGAGTCGGTCTTCTCGGCGCTGCAGTTCCGAGATTTATCGGCCCCGCGTGAGCGTGGCCAGCCCACTCGTACCCCCTCTCATGTGAGCGTGCCACAACCCCCCCCCCGGACCAGCCCTCACGTTTGAGAAGCGATCCCTTTCCCCCACCACCACACCGCGGAGAGCTCCGCGCGGCGCCGTCTCTGGGGTTCGTTTCCCGGTAGCCGAGTCAGGCCCAAGCAGGCTTCACGCGGGGCCTGCCTAGTGTTATTTTTCTTTGGCCGAGCTTATTAACTAACCGAGCTTATTAACTAACTGTAGTAGTGCGAGCCGCTAACTACTACAGATCGTCACCCGAATTAGTTATCGAATCGATCGCTCGATATGTAAACTGAATCGCTAACTCATTATATTGAGGGACTGTGTGTGTTTATCTTTGTGTGGTCAGGGAACTGTTGTTGTTGTCGTTGCCTTGCCCAAAATCTTGACGCATTGGACTGATATAATCGAATTATTTATATTTAGTGACTTGCTTACCATTTTCTTGATTTATTTTTCACTCCTATCGTATTGTTTGCTGCTGTAGCTCGCTGGCCGTACGATACTTGAAGCCATTCAAAAAGAGCTTCATAGCTCATCGGATTCCCCCTACACTCAAAATACAAGATTCTGAAGTCATCAGTTGGGCACCACCACCTGACTACCGTAATAAGTAACTATTTAATCGCCTCGCTCAGTCACATAGCTAATCACACAACTCATAATTATTACCGAACGCCTCTGATGGACTCAATCGCAGGACACGCGAATCCTCACTGGGGCCCCATTCCTCTGTGAGAGCTGAAGCGATGTATATGGTGGAAATTCGATATTCCTATGACAGGAGCCACTTTTTTGTTCAATTCTAACGTCCGTGACGTTCCTCTTCACCCCTCGTTACTAACTATTTCCCATCGCTACTCCCCACTGGTACTCATTCCCCTTGAGTATTTCGTGACTCCCCCTGTCAGTGCTACAGTCTTCCGTTATCTAATCTTCCTCGTCCGTACTGTACGTGCTAAACTAAACCTCGTATGTTACCAGGTAAGGCCCGCTGAGGTACGTAACTCTCTTTCAGAAACGACCTGGCCACAAATGATAGCTCAACGGAGTGGCTTATCGCGTGGAAATGTACAGCAGCCAAATACTCTGAACGCGTGTTTCTAAATGTGGCGGGGAAAACCGGAGGACCCGGAGAAAAAAAATCCACGCTACCGCAGGGAGAACATGCAAACTCCAAATATACAGGGGTCAGGATCGAAACCACGACATCTTGTATACCGAGCGAGATCGTTAACATCTCGCCACCGTGACACTACAATGTTGGCGGGATATTAGTACTGCAGTTTCCCAATCAGTACCAGCGCCCCTGTTAGTATTCTCACCCCCATCAGTACTAATATCCCCCCATCACCACTATTCTGTCAATAGCTCCTCGTCAGATTTCGTTTTAAAGCTTTCGTGACTGCAAGGATTCATCTTCTTTGGTTCTTTCGGTAAAGTCACGTAGAATGAGAAAAAAATAATAAATTGATCAAATAAAATAACACAATTCTCACGACGTTTCGGCCACAACACAAGCGGCCGCTTGTGTTGTGGCCGAAACGTCGGCCGCTTGTGTTGTGGCCGAAACGTCGTGAGAATTTTATTGTGTTATTTTATTTTATCAATTATTTTATTCTCATTCTACGTGACTTTACCGAAAGAACCAAAGATGATGAATCCTCGTCAGATCTCACTACCCCCTCGTAAATCTCCTATCCAGCCGGTATTAAACAATGTAAATTAACTCTTCTTTTGGATTCATGCCTTCTCTGGGAAGGGCAGCCCACATATCGAAGTGTCTCTCTTTCTAGGCTGTCATGTGGTCCACACTCTGGATTTGCTAGAGCGCGTGCTGAACGGATGATCAAGTGGTGATGGGCGCTGGTCGTTGAGCGCGACCTGACCGCACGGAGAGCCCTGTGCCTTGCGTTTCACCAACCATGGAGTACAACGCGCTGAACGGCAGCCTTGGCAACTACGCCGGAGCATTGCACCCCGGAATGGACTCCAGCCTGGACCCAGCCCTGCACGGTGGCCTGGAGCCCGTGGGCCTTGGTGCTACAATGATGGATGGAGATGGCATGCCTATCGACAGCCTGCCTGTCGGGGTGAGCGTCGTTAATATTGATGATTAGTTCTTTAGAAAAAGCCGAGCTATGGGACTTTTTTTTTGAGGGCCCTGCGTTGGGTTTTTCAGATGTTTTCAACCACGTGTTGAGTGTGTATACGTGTGGGAGGAAACTGGAGCACCCAGAGTAAACCAACATATATGAGGGGGCAGCACTCTATCTGTACAGATGGAATCAGAGCAGTCCAATTGCTGTACTGCTTTCTCCTGGCGAGTCAGAGTGTGGCGTCTACCTAAATAATCACAACTGTGACCTCCGTTCAACCCCATGTAGTCACATGATGTGACGCCCCACTCACGCACATGTAGTCATACATGACGTGACCCTCACAGGAAGGGAGTTTGACAACATTTACGTGATCACCAACTCTCGCCTTCACAGTGCTGGATTACAGGCATATTTTTACAGGCGTATGCCACCGCCCAGTCCCCGTTGATCACCAAACACCACCACACTCCAATAAAGCAGTGTGGCTAATGGGATGTGCTAACAATTATACTGTTTTTATGTGGAGAGACAGATATATGAGGCGATTTATCCGCTCATTTAATTTGTTACGTATATTCTCTATAACAATGCTTAATTATTATGTACTATTCCCCTTGCACGCAAGTTACTTGGGACAAATCAATCACTCATAGGTTGTTAAAGTAGACAATGGGTCACTACAATAAGATTTTACACTGCAACATGGTTACCAGGGTACCATGTGCAAGCTACTATTGACATGCATTTATAACTTTTGGATTTTACATTACCCAAAGCAGAATTTTGGTCATTGTGAAGCCACCCTTACCCCATAATGTCCCTTCCCACGACTACTACTTGCGTGTGCACACTCCCACCCCTGACACAACCACCACCACTGCTCGAACCAGCCCAACCTGGTGTCCGGAGGAAGGGGTGGGGGCCTGAAAAAAGGGCTTGGTCCTAAAAAGGAGAGGTGCGATCATTCTGCTGGCTCCTTCTTACTGTCTTACATGTGTGAAAAAAAGCCTCATGGCTCATCGGATTCCTCCAGGTTAAAGATTCTGAATTCTGAAAGATTCTGAACGACCGGTGAGCTACGGACCACAGGTTGAGAACCGCTGCTCTATGTAACAGTTAAAAATAAATGTTCTAATGAACGGAGTGTTTCAATTAAACCCTTTTACCACTTACATTGGTGTCATTGAACACAGAACAATGTATTTAATGTACATTGGTGGATTTTTAGGTGTGAAAAGTTTTAATAACCCAGGGTTCTGAACATTTTTGGAAACTAACATTAGGATTTGCAGTGAAACATCATTGGTTTTCTAGGAGAGCAAACCAAAATTATATATCCGGTTAAATGTTGGCTAGGGGAACACTTCCCATAAAAAAGCATGTATTTCATGTTATTTTTCCCTCTGCTATGTATTTTTAATCTCACTGCTTCTGTTGTGCTGTATATCTCTCTTCAAATCTTCTGTCACTCCATACCGAAGCCCTTTGTGTTGTGTCTGCTTCTCTGTCAAGGTATCTCCATGCTATTTGTCTCTGCTTGCCATTCACTACACACCTCCATGCTGTGCCTCTCTGTCCATACGGTTCCCACACCGTGTGTGTGTCTGCTGCTCTTTGTAAGTCTGTTCCATGTCTGTCTCTGCTTCTGTCAATCGAAGCACCTCCCACCTCTACATTTTGTGCGGTCGGGAGGGGGTGGGGAATGTTTTTAGCTGGAAAATATAACACACTGTCTGAATGGGGAAGTTTTAGAATGAAAGAGAGGCAACATATGGGTGAGGTTTCACTGTCATAATTTTTGTCAAGGAAAATTTATCGTTACAAATTATGTTGTCCAGTGATACAATTCCACAATGGCAATATAAATAACAGAACATTTATATATTTCAAGTTTGACGTAAGATACACGATTAGGTGAATTTTATCACTCGGCAATCAGAATGTTTATTCCACCATCACATGAGGTGCATGGTGGTGCACGGTGTGTGTGTGTGTGAAGGAGGGACTTCCGCTGATGGAGGGTGCCTACTCGGAGCTGCACAGCATCATCTCGGAAGTGGGCGTGCCCATCAGCACCTCGCACTTCGACGTCCACGAGGAGCTGCTCTGGGTTGGCAACCAGGGGGTATGAGCAACCACCATGCACACACCCACACCCTGGCAGCACCAACAGCCACCGCCGTTCGGCACTAGGTGGCGGTGACGGCACCACGACGCTGGTGCCATGCTAGGTGCACTTTGAGGCCACGTGAAGCGTCGAAGGCCTCACTGGCAGGAGGTCGCGGATCAGACCCAGGTGCCATGGGTTAACTGACTGAACAAAAGCTTCAGAATCAGAAAGGGTTTTATTCGCCATGAAAGTTCACACCGACACGGAATTTACTTTGGCAGGATGGTGCATACATTCAACATATAGGAATCTAAAATCTTAAATAAGTTTTAAACAAGTCTTACTATAATAAGGGTTAAAAGGCTAACTAACACCAAGGGGCTGAAGTATATAAAATTGAATAAATATCGAATATAAAATAGCTTTAAGATATAATTTAAAAATAAAAAATACAAATATGTTAACATAGTTAATATCGGCAAGGTGTCATTATGTAGATAAAATGTTCATAGCTCATCAGATTTTTTCATGATAAATAAAGATTCTGATTCTGACCGAGAAGCTGACACACTCACTGGCACACGCTGGCACACCCTGCTAGGCTCTTGTACACGTTAGCACACCCAGGGTATACTCTCTCAAGAATTGCACGAGCTTCCGCAGAAGTGAGTTGTGTACCTTCCTACTCATGGCCGGCGCTAGGGGGTGTGACATGTGGCGCGCAGGGCGATCAGAGGGGGCGCCGTATCCAAGTCTTATTTTCCCTCCTTAATTTGAGGAGGCGCTTTTTGTTTGTGGATAACATGTGTACGGTAGTATGTTTGTGATCTATTATGCGTATGATCGCGCCACCTTGTGGTGGGTCTGTGGGAATTGCATGACTGCCGCAAATTGGAAGATCTTCTTTGGTTCTTTCGGTAAAGTCACGTAGAATGAGAATAAAATAATAAATTGATAAAATAAAATAACACAATAAAATTCTCACGACGTTTCGGCCACAACACAAGCGGCCTTCATCAGGTGAAGGGACGAGACTGGAAGATGTTGTGCAATATGTATGTTGAACTTGAACTTCGCCTCTGCAGCCGTCTGGAACACTTCCGATATTAGGAAGCCACTGGAGCTATGCACTTTTAAATCTGTAGTAGAGTGAAAACTAATTTCTTTAGAACTGATGTTTGTGTTTAGTTTGTTTTTATTCCCCCGCACCTTCGATTAGCATGGTTGGCTAGGTACAGTGCGAAAGAAGTTCAGCATACATACATGCAGCTTACGTAGCCAACCGCGCTAATCGGAGGTGCGGGCAAAGTGCAACAAACTGAACACAAAGCAGTGAGTTTTCCATTTAGATTTAAAAGTGCATAGCTCCAGTGGCATCCTAATATTGGAAAGAAAAACGTTCCAGACAGCCAACAGAAGCGGATCTGAAAGCACGCAATGCAGTGACCATCTTTGTTCGACGGCTAGCCAATAGCCGCTGGGAGGATAGCCGGAATTTGCGTGATGATTTATTCCCCTTCGGCGAGATCAGCAAGTTTTTGTGGTTCATTTGTGGCAAGAACTTTGTGTGTAATGAGCACGACCTTATAAAAATAGCGGCGTGACCAATGGCGGAGCCAGGAATTTCAGGTAGGGGGAGGGCAACCCCTCCAGCAATGAAAAATGCTAAGAGTTGTTAGTAAGTAAGGACTTGTCCCTTGTTTTTTATTCGACGCGTGTGCGGCGATGGCGCAGCCATCGATCGAGGGTCGAATTCGAACCGCGTTGTGTGATCAGCATCGCACTCACTGAAGGTGTTTGCCTTCAGGGAAGTCGTGTACTGTATACGCAACTGCGCACAATTCTGAGTCACTTATAACTGCTTTGCCGTTACTTATTGCCAATTATGAACTCAGACTATTGTCCTATCATCTCATAGAGTCCCTGGCACGTAATAATATGCTACAGAGTGGCAGTGGGGGTCGCAAAATGCCAATTTATTACTAATAAACCCCAATCATCCGATCGAAATCCATCATTTCGATCGGATCATTGGGGGGGCACGTGCCACCCCACCCCCCCCCACTGGCTCTGCCAGTGGGCGTCTCTGGGTCGCAATTGGCTGAGGACAGATGTGTGGTGCTCTAGACTCCGCACTTTCCACCTGATTTATACTTAAAATTGTAATCCTAGCCATTTGTGAAACCTTTGTTAAGACCATACGAATACACGAGCTTGGGGGCAGCAGCGTGCAGGGGGGACAAAAGCAAAGTTTTCTACCCACGAGCCATAACAGTGATGCCTTGCATATGATGCAGTATGTGCATTGTGCAAAGGGAATGTAATGGAAACAAAATAGCTCATGTATGTATGTATGTTGAGCTTCTTTCGCACTGTATTTAGCCAACTGTGCTAATCGGAGGTGCGAGGGATGATGGACAACAAACTAAACACAAACAGCAGTTCTCAATAAATTAGTCTTCAGTCTACATTTAAAAGTACATAGCTCCAGTGGCAGCCATGATCTATTCACTGCTGGATGAAGGCCTCCTCACGACGTCGCCATCCCTCATAGTCTTACGATGCCATGATATCGCTTCTGCACGTTTGATGACATTATTGCTCCATCTCCGTAGTGGTGGATCCTCTCTGGCATGTTCTTTCTCCTTTAGTTGCCCTTCCATCACCAGTGCATGTCTCTTCATGATGGGAATTATAATGGGCGTTACAGTGGAACATGTCTTTTGGAGACTGGGGTGTCGTGGTTGAGGGCTCTATTCCCTTTGCCACTACCAATCTTTCTCTTGACGAGCAGCGTGGCTTAAGCTGCCAGTAGCGATTATGAGAGCTTAGAGGTGGGGGAGCTTTTATTGGTGAACGCTTATTGAATTTCTTCTCGTGTTAAAGACAGCAGGTTTAGGAAGTCTTTATACTTGCCACCTCCGTCTGTGTTGGTGCGAGGGTTGTACCGGACGGCGTGACTGCCTCTCACGTGAGCGGCGTGGAGGATTGGCCTATGGCGCCGCTGAGTGCTTGATGTACGTTGAACGTCTTTCCCACCGTACGAAGCCAACCGTGCCGCTTCCCTTGCAGGGCCGCGTCGCCTCGTACTATGGGCCAGCGATGGAGCGCTACTCGGCGTTCGTCGTGCACCCCGCGGACGAGGTGCGGCAGGTGCAGAGCCTGGACAATGGCGTGCTCCTCCTTACCAAAAACAACCTCAAGTGCTTCTCACGTGGCGGCCTCATCATGTGTGACTACATGTGCGTGAGTAGGGGTCACATCGTGTGTGCCTACATGTACGCGAGTAGGGGTAACATCGTGTGTGACTAATGACTACATGTGCGTGAGGGGGGGTCACATGATATGACGACATGTGCATGAGTGGAAGTCACAGTTGTGATTATACTGGTAGGAAACGTAGTGGACTGGAAGCCCAACCGGGATTAATTCACAGGAGGCAGGGGGATGTCTGTCCACGTGTATCCGGACACCCGGATAAAATAGGAGGGGTGGGGCTGGGTGGAGAGGGGAGGGTGGGGAGGGGCTGGGTGGGGAAGGGATGGTGGGGAGGGGCTGGGGAGGGTGGGGAAGGGCTGGGTGGGGAGGGGCTGGGTGGGGAGGGTGGGGCTGGGTGGGGGGTGGGAGGGGTGGGGGGTGGGAGGAGTGGGGGGTGGGAGAGGTGGGGCTGGGTGGGGAGGGGCTGGTCACCCCGTGGTGCCCTTATAAAACTCAACGTTTAACCTACTCACGCCGGCTTGTGCCCGTCCTCACAGTCGGGCATATTTGCGGAATACGCCACGCTGCCGTTGTCCCTGGCCATTAACCGAGCAACCCAACGTTCCTACCAGCTCCCTCCGCAGGAATGTGTTTTCGGTCACTTCATTTGTGACTGTGTTGAGTGAGCAGCCCCTCACGTGACCATGTGAAAGGATGTATCTTGGTATGTGATGGTTTTGCACGCGCGAGTGGATTTTATTTTGACATTTACCCACATTAGAATTTTTCTTGTAGCACTAAGGGTTTCATTTCACATCAGGGTGCTGATCTAATCAGTTGTGTGATCTTGCACCTGCCTTGCAATGATGTTGCTGGGCTCTGTGGTAAAAAATAATATTTATTTTGCCAAACTAGTATTCTTTTTAAAATCTCCAATGTGCTTAAGAAAACAGCATTGTTGAGAATTTTAAGCACTGAGTTTATATGAACACAATGTTCCAAGAAAAGTTGTTCCTCTTAACCTTTTTCGTGGGAAACATATGCACCTTGCCCTTAGTTTTAAGATATTTATGGAGTCTTCATGAGATATTACGTTGGTTAGATGTATTTTTGGATTCCAGAGGTTGTGTTTTAATGTAGTAATATCGAGAATATCAAATGCAGGAGAAGCTCTGATGGGATTTTAGATTTACATCTACATTGCCTCTTTCCCTGGTGCACATAAATAACAACCCTGACTCCAGGAATTGCTGACTTCAGAGCGGTGGGCACAGCACCTCGCCTTGCATTCAGCCACTTCGCTTGTCTTGAGCGCTAATAAAAAAAATAGCAGTTACATTGGGTCATACTCGTGCGTGATATAATACATTCTTGCACGTGAGATATAAGGTGAGAATGATCTGTCGTGATTTAGGAACTTGAATGTGTCTGGGCTGCTGGCTAATCCGCCCATGTCTTGGATAAATTGATTGGAAGAAGTTACACTTTTTGGCTCTTAGCAACAACTGCACAGGTGCATTTATCACAAGGGCTCTTTTAATAACTTAGCAGGCCATTGGTGTTTGAAGAGCACTCGTGGGATGTGATGCCACTGCACCTTGTTAAGTGTTCAGATTTACAGCGGGCTGTGCCCACACAGTAAATTCCACCCGGCATTCGTTTCTTGCGGCCGCGCCGTGTGAACAGAAGATGTAGACATCTCTTTTTTTTTAGGACGGAGGAGGCTCATGAAATGCACTGCATGTTGCTCACGAGCAACAACTCGCTGCTGATTGGAGGCCAGCAGAACCACATTCTTGAGCTGGACCTGAGCAGTGCCCAGGAGATGCAGAAGGTGCGTGGTACCGCCCTGGCGGCGCTAAGCATGGATATATGGATGCATTTGTGTAAAATAAGATCGGCACCCACAGCCATTGATAACTGGTATAAAAATAAAGATCTGTTTCACTGTTTTTAACGCTGTTGGGCGTTGGACTTGACGGTCACGTTGACGGCACCTTCTCCGATTTGTCCCGCACCCGTGTTCTCGTTGGCAGTACGATGTCGAAACCACAGGGGTGACCATCATGAAGCAAGCCAACAGGTTTTTCTTCTGTGGCCACGCTGGAGGCAAGGTACCAAAATGCCAACGTTGCCTCAGGATGTACGGTCGTGACATATTAGCCGCTGTCTATTAACCAAAGTCGTACTGCCGGCACATCTTACAGGTGGTGTGCTGTGAAGCGGTGGCTCTATGTGATGTTCACCTCCGTCATCACGCCCTCGCCTAGGTGACCCTGCATGACCCGCGCACCTTCAAGCCGGAGCACGAGTTTGAGGCCCACTCGAACAACCTGTTGGACTTCGACGTGCACGGCAACTTGCTGGTCACCTGCGGGCTCACGGCGCGCCTCAACCGGCTGGCGTGCGACCGCTTCCTCATGGTGTACGACATGCGCATGATGCGCGCCGTGACGCCACTGCAAGTGCACCTGGAGCCCGCGTTCGTGCGCTTCATCCCCACCTACACCTCGCGCCTCGCCATCATCTCCCAGACTGGTGAGCACTGCCCTCGCAGGCACGCGCCGGAGGTGGCCGGGGCGCTCGAAGGCTCGCCATTTCTAAACCGTGCGCGCGTTATGTCACAATTAACAACATCAAAAAAATTCAGGCGCTCACGAGACATTTAAACTGGGGGGGGTGGGAAAGAAATCGGGAGCTCTTTAGTGTAACAGTGGGGGAGAGTGCCTCACCCAGTCATGCAATTCAAATTAAGCTCAAGAGACCATCAGCGTGATATAGAAGCACACTCTTAGAATACTTATCATCGTCATTAACACCGCCTTGCAGAAATACGTATATAAAACCTGAAATTAGAGATTTAACTCAACCGTCTTACATTTGCATGGAATTGTCATATTTCTCATTGGCAATGCAGTGTTAATGTCAGGTAACATTTTTTTGCAGGCTGTGCTAATGATGCTGATCTTCAATGATTCTCCCTGACATTAGCAAAGCCTGCATGCAAGTATGCCTGTGCACTCCAAAGACAAAGATCCCCCGTATAGCCTGAACAGACTGGTGGTGCAACAAGTGCGGTTAGCGAATACCTATGAAGGCTGGCACAGCACACGAGGGGGGGGTGGCCAACACCACGCCCGGCCGCCTTTGTCTCCCAAGTGGTGATTTTTACACACCGTACCAGGTACTCACTTGAGGCTGAGTCGACCTAGGAGAGGCCCATGACCGGTTCAGATAACCGCCACTGGCATTTTCCGTGAACGGGAATCAAACTCGGGTCGCCGAGTTCAAAGTGCGGCGAGCTAACTGCAATATGACCACTCCCCCACACCTCCCCACACACAGGGCAGTGCCAGTTCTGTGAGCCGACAGGCCTGGCCAACCCGGCCGACATGATGCACGTGGACACGGTGGGCCAGCTCATCATGGCCTTTGACGTCTCCTCCAGCCGCCAGGCCCTGGCGTTCGGGGACTCTGGCGGCTGTCTGCATCTCTGGGCGGATAGCCCACAGGTACATCGTCACCTCGAACGGCACACACGGTGCGTGGGTTGTGTTGCGACGTTTTGAGCACTCTTTTGTTATTGTGCTTGTGTGTGTGTGTGGCTTGCTTTTGGCCACGCACCCGCTCGTGTGCCATGCCGGCTTTCATAGGTGCTCGCGAACAACACTTGCCCCAACAATCTGTTAAGGCTATACAGGGGGATATTTGTCTTTGTGGCGTGGCGTGCTGCGCAGGTGACCTTTAACGAGTACTCCCGCGAAACGGAGTTTCCGTTGCCGTGCATGTCGGACAGCGTGCCCCACTTGGACTGGAGCGACGACTTGGCACCGCTGTCGCTCGTTTCCATGCCGTACACCAGCGACGCGTTGCTGTCCGACTGGCCCACCTCCAACTGCGCCGCCATCCGCCGGTCAGTGACGACCCGGAGCCATTGCGCATGTTCGCGACAACCACCGTGTTTTGCTCTTTGACGGTGGCACTTGAAAATTTTCGGAAAATTCAATCGTTGTACATCTTAATTGACCTCGTCGTATTCTCGCTGCAACTTAATGCGCCGGGTGGCGAAGGTGGGCTATGTGTACGTGGCTTGTAATCCAGCCATGTGGAGGCGAGGGCTGGCGGATCACACATATGTTCTGGAACGCCCTTCCCGTGGGCATCACGGTGCCACAACTCTGGCCCGCCAGGAGGTGGGGGGAATGTCGTTGTTGTTGATGTGGCTCAATGCTGTCTGCCCCGCAGGAGGGCCCCTCCCGTGGACCCCGAGATTCTGCGCTCCATGAAGATGGTCGGCTTCATCGGCTACGCCCCCAACCCTCGCACCAAACTGCGCAACCAGGTTACCCCACGCAGCCACCGCGTGTACGCCCCCGCACGGCACAAACACCGGCACCTGTGCTAGCTCGAGATTGCGGGGCTTTGGCGTTCGGCCCGTGGGAGAGGAAAATAGTTCGTGGACATAGGTGGTGCCACGGCAACAAGAGGGGGGGGGGGGGCATTTGGGAGTGCTGGAGCTATGATGGGGTCGGGCGTTGTGTTCAGAAACAGAATATTTATACTGGAGGATGAGCTATGACGTTCTTTTTCACAGCCGTGGCTGATCATCATTTTAATGCTCTGGGCACACAAGAAATAGATTTTGCCAAAACGAAGGTACTCTGCAAACCCACGGACTATCGGCAAAGATTCGTTCATGAAGCCATCCAGATATGTAAACACAGACACAATTTCTGCCCAGAAGATGGGTACAAACTGAGCAATCATTGGAAGGACAGTATTAACCAGTTTAGGTCATAACTGGCTGTGTTGTTCCCTTCCTACCTACCTATATTAGCAGTTATTTTCGACTCTCTGAGTTACATTCACTAGCACAGCCACCGTTAGCTATGTTTTTAAATGGTGGCTTGCCATCCTTTTCCACCTTCATGTGGCGATGGCTCTTTCCGAGCTCTCTCCGATCTTACATTTACAAGCAAATTTCATCTCTAGCCCGGCCCACTGACCCTTGGGCTACACCCATCTCAAACCTTTATAAGTCCCTGCCTTAGCAGCGCTCCCGGCATATATTTTTTTCCTGCCTCAGCAGCTCTCCCACTATATTTTTCACCCGATGACGATTGCTTGTGTTGCGATCGATACATCGTGATATTGTTATTTTTTAATTATTTGTGTTACATTTTTTTCTATCTCCGTGGCTTTACCGAAAGACCCAAAGAATATGTTTCACAGTTCAGTAGTTCACCTGCATGATGAGTCCAGCCTGTGGTGACACGAGTGGACGTTTTCCCTGTGACAGACAGTCAGTTAGGCCTGACTCTGTGTCCGCGTGAAACATGAGCAGATGCCCTACAAGCTGAACGAGGCGGATGGGGAGGCGGACGGCTACTCACAGGTGCCCGAGTCGCCCATTGGGAGGGAGGAGGAGCCGCACCTCTACATGGTGCCCAAGAAGTACAGGAAGGTGGGTTTCTGGCAGCAGCTTGGTCCAGTGGTTTTAACAGGTGGGGGGCGGGGGGGGGCACTTATTTATGCGTGGGAGCCGTGTGCCGTCTTTAGGGGCAGCCCAATCACTCACGCACTCGAGTCGGCAACACGAGCCTTTCTACAAGTACGGGATCGCCTCCTTTAATGTCCGGGACATTCAATATTGCATTTAAATAACCTTTGTGAACAAAGACACGGTATCCTGTGGACCCAGCTCACATTTTGAACGTTGTGAGCAACCGGGGATACCTTGGTTTACGATTCCTCCTTGTAAGGTGTTAAGTTATTCTTTTTTTTTAATTCACAGGTGACTATCAAGTATTCTAAACTTGGCCTGGAGGATTTTGATTTCAAGCATTACAACAAGACCATGTTTGCAGGACTGGAGACCCACATTCCCAACGCTTACTGCAACTCCATGATCCAGGCAAGCAAACGAGTGGTGTTTGTCTATGTGGCATGAAGTGTATAGGTATCACCTGGTTTGTGAGTCAGATGGTGTAGATGTTAGGTGGTGTGTGGGGAGCGATGGGGTAGTGGTTAGCACACTTCGCTATGAACTTGGCAACCTGAGTAAAATTTCCATACCTCGCTAATATCAGTGTTGAACATCTAAAATAGTTTTGGGCCTCCACCAGGTCAACTTAGCCTTAAATGAGAACCTCGCATGGTGCGTAAACATCAGCACTGGGGAGACAAAGGTGGTCAGGCATGGTGCTGGTCATACATTACCACTCCTCCGCCAGTCCGGCCTTCATGGGTACTCGCTTAACAGAATTTGTCCCAACAGCTTATTAAAAAAGGCTGCACGGGGGATCTTGTCTTTGTTAAGTGGTGGGTGTTGTGTGTGCTTTGTTCTGGCCACACCACCCCCTCGTGTGCCCACGCCAGCCTTCATATGGAGTGCTGCTACTTGCTAACAGCAGTCGCCCCAACATCCTGTGTAAGCTATAGAGGGGGGTGGGGGATTCTTTGTCTTTGCCGTATGCTGACCGAGTGCTCTGTTCGATCCGCACATTTGCAGGTGCTTTACTTCTTGGAGCCAGTGCGCCGCTCCATCCAGAGCCACCTGTGCCAGAAGGAGTTCTGCCTCGCCTGCGAGCTGGGATTCCTCTTCTACATGCTCGATCTCTCCAAAGGGGACCCGTGCCAGGCAAGATCGTCGCGTGCTCGGGCCACACTTGACACCGCCACGTGGCGCGCACATTGTCTCGTGTTTGCAGTGTGCTCGTACTTGGGCACATCACCTCCGATTAGCACGGTTGGCTACGGACAGTGCGAAATAAATTCACGATACATGCAATATTAACAGAGCCTCGACTCTGAAGATGGGAAGTACATAATTGCCATCTAATTCCGCTTTCGCTGCACAGGCCAGTAACTTCCTGCGTGCTTTCCGCACCATTCCGGAGGCGTCGGCCCTTAGTCTCATCTTGGCGGACTCCGACGAGGCAACGGGCAAAGTGAATCTGGGTCAACTCATCCAAAGCTGGAATCGTTTCATCCTCACACAGCTGCACCAGGAGATGCAGGAGCAAGAGGGCATGCCAGCCTACCGCAGCATAACTGGCAGGTGCCAGCCTCCTCTTGGCCACTCCCTGATGCAGCCCAGTTGCCTCTTCCCTCAACAGTGATACCTAAACATGCTACTACTAACGTCACTCACCAAACGATGGTGTGATTTTATCTTCATCGCCTGGTATGCAGGATATCGGGGGTTCGATCCTGACCCTGACGCCTGCTTTATGTTCTTCCTTTGGTCATGTGCATTTTTTATTCAGTTCCTTGGGTTTTTGCCTCCACATTTAGAAACATGCATTGAGATTATTTAGAGATTTTTTTCTGCTATGAATGTCCAAATGATAAGCCACTTTGTTGAGCTATCATTTGTGGCCAGGTTGCTTCTGAAAAATAAGTTAATACCTCAGTGGGCTTTGCCTGGACAGATGGGGATGGTTTAGTTTTGTATTTGTTTGAGTATGGGTGATGTGTTTACCTTTCTTGAACTACTATCATGTTTTTGTATTGTTTGTTGTAACATTTTTACCCCACCTTACTGTACATCTGTAAAAAAAGCTTTATGGCTCGTTGGATTGAATTCTTCCGCTATAAATAAATATTCAGACTCTAATTCTGAACTGCTGTGGGTTAGGTGTACCCGTAAACATTGCTGTAACGGCGTGGTGAAACTAGTGAGGTGACGCTGTTGTGCGTGCAGCGCGCAGGCCTCCAGCGAGTCGGTGGTGAGCCAATTGTTCGGCACAGAGTTGGACAACTGTAGCACGTGCCGCTGTGGGAAGGAAACGTCGCGAGTTTCCTCCTCGCTGCTCTTCACGCTGCACCACCCGGACACCAGCAAAGGTGCTAACGCCTGAAACCGCACGTGCCAGTACTAACCCTGGCCCTGGCGAGCCCAGAAAAAACCACCAACAACACCAGTAGTCATGCCCCGGCGACGCAAAGACGTGTATTTGTGTCGCGTACTCCTCGGGGATCGTGATAGAACCATGCCCATATGATGTTGTGCAGTCATGCTTCGTTCAAATTCAGGGGCATTCATAATCCAAGGCTGCGAGAAATGTTTAAATATCTGTTTAAGTTTTGCTTTTCCAGCCAACTGTGGAGAGTCAAGAGGCAGAGGGGGTGGTAACAGAGTGGGGGCCAGGCCCACAGATCCTCGCATATCATGGGGTGTGGGGACACGGTTCCGCCACTGTGCTGTTGGAATGCTACCAAAGCCACTTCTGGCCTGGCATGCCCACTGTCCTCTTAGCCAGGGGGCTTACAAGGGTAAGACCTCGTGTAGGGTGAAGAGAACTTGCAGATTAGTCTATGGGCCAGAGCACAAATTGGTGCCAGCTATGTTGTAATGCCACTTGCTTTGTGGCTGCTATGACTTTGTTGACCCAATCATTTCAAATCGTTGTCACATAATTCACTGTTATTGACCCCATAAATAAATTGGAACCCCTAAAGTGATGCCACCCCATCTGAGACATCTTGTCTGGGCTCGGGGACTATGTCGACCACTGGTTTAATATTTACTGCAGTGTGCTGACTCACGTATGTGTAGTGGGTAATCATCGACGGAGAACTTCTTGTGAGGCAACACTATATTTATTAGGACTCTATTTTACAAGGTTCCTAACACAAAGGGGTAGCGGCCCCTTTACCCGATACGTGGGGAGGTATGGCCTCCGGACTACACGGGCCCTAGCACTCGGAACCTCGTTAACTTCCCGCCCTCCGGCTGGGGGCCCTAGGGGAGGCTATGCTGACCCGACCGTGCCAGGTCTTCGGGTCCTGACCACTGGCCTCACAAAACTCCGGCCCTTAGAGGGCCGACGGAGCTTGGGGTCCAGGGTCCTAACTTCAGCCCAGGTCTTCATTCTTCGGCTTGGAGATGACTGACCCAGACCCTTGAGAGGTCCGGCTTATATACTGGTTGGTGGCTTGCTCCGCCCTAGCCACGCCTCCTTTCCAGAACTTTCTGGAAGGTGATATCATCCCCCGGTCCCCCCTCCCGGGGTCCGGGGAATGTGTCCCAGGATCCGCTTCCCAGGGATTGTCGTTGGCCCCTTTGGGCCATGGTCACTAACAGTGGCGTGATAGCGCTTCCGCCCCCTGTTGACGAGAAGGGGGAGCTACCAGCCAACAGGATGGGGAGTGCTGATTAACACCCATACATATGTAATGATTCAACGATTAAATTAATTCTTATCCTCAAGATAATGCATCGAATCGGGTGTTTAAGAAGTGTTTAAATTAGACACGTTTTTACATGAGGTTAATAGCATCACTCAGGCAGACCATAGAGCTCAAATGAGACGGTACAAATGACAAACCAATTATTCTTGAAACCAAGCGGGACTCCAAAATGCTGAAGGGTGTCACATGGCTACCCGCAGCAGATACATTCTAGATATCTGTAGGTTGTCACAGCACATCATTAATGCAGAAATAATGCATCTGCAGGCTCATTATTGGACGTTGATGATGACGGTGATAATTTGTCTCGCGACCACTGTCGTCTGCCGCCAGATGAGCCTGGGAAGTTGTATGAATTTGTGGAGCTGCTTCGCAGAAGCATTTGTTTGGACCAGAGCACCCAGGCGTGGTGTGAGGTGTGCGAAAAGTACCAGCCCACGGTGAGTCGGCCCCGAAGGGCACATGCATGCTTACACGTCCGCGCACACACAACTCCTGTCGTACACGTGCTTTGCGCTGCTTTGGAGGAGTAAAATTGGCCTGGGAAATCAAGCTATGCTCGTTGGAATAAGGTGCAGTAGTCGCGTGACAGGTTAGTTAGAGTGGATACTTCTTGCTGCTTTGGACCATCACGAGCATGATGAACTATTAAACATTCTGACGCATTTATAGATGCTCTTTGGTTCTATTGGGTAAAGTCACGTAGGTGAAAATAAAATAACAAAAAATCACGACGTTTCGGCCACAACAAAAGCGGCCTTCATCAGGTGAAGGGACGAGACTGTCTGGAGGACAGCGCTGGAGTGGAAGAAGCCACGCTTAGATCACGACCTTTAAGCTGTGTGAGAAGAAAAAGACCACGTGCCTTGACAAAGGAATTGGCATATAATTTAGCATTGAAATGGCTCATTGAAATAGCTAAGTTAAAGTATACACATCCGCAGAGGTACCCCTTGACAAAGGAATTAGCGCTGGAGTGGAAGAAGCCACGCTTAGCGTGGCTTCTTCCACTCCAGCGCTGTCCTCCAGACAGTCTCGTCCCTTCACCTGATGAAGGCCGCTTGTGTTGTGGCCGAAACGTCGTGATTTTTTGTTATTTTATTTTCACCTACGTGACTTTACCCAATAGAACCAAAGAGTATGGATCCTAGCAGTCACGAAAGCTTTAAATCTAGAATTGCATTTATAGATGGTCATGCATCGCCCTATCAGGGGTTTGCAGATTGGGTTGAACATGGGAGGGCATTTCGATCGCTAGGCTACCCAGTTGACCCATGTCGCTACATTGGATGAAACCTGCGCATGTGTCCTCGTGGTGTATGCACTGGTACACTGCGGCAGCTTCCTCTGCGTGCCGTTACTGTGTTGTGGAATTATGCCTTGCCGGCTGCCTGTGACCACAGGTGCAGACCAGGAAGCTGCGCCGACTGCCTGACGTGCTAGTTATAAACTGCCAGGTCAACTCTCCAAAGGACTGTGAGTTCTGGAGGAATCAGTCCGAGGTACGTACGGAGTCCACAGGGGAAACTCCTGTTTGCCATTATATATATTACATCTGCATCAAATAACCTGCATTTGATTTTCCGTAATCGAATAATTAGCGGTGTGTCGACACAGTGACCCGGTGTGGTGGAGAGCTCGGGTTCTCCAGCGTGCCGGTGGCTCTCTCCTTACTTGCAGATCGCCTACCGCAGACTCGTCTCCAAGGAGGAGGCCGAGGGCACCAAGGCTCACCCCCCCGCCAAGATCCCCGAATGGTATCCACCACCACCACCACCACGCTCGCACCCCTTCTCATCTCCTGGGGGAGAAAACATATGTGTCGTGCCTTCCATTTTACAGTCGACGCCTTGTCGCGGGCGGGTAGGGCGACAGTGAACCGGCGGAATGTGCGTTGTAATTGCTGACCCAGGCCCATGGCAGCCGAGGGGTTGGAGCTGGGTTCCAACCTGGATGAGATGAAGAACGTGTGGATTCCCTTCGCCTTTCGCACCAAGCTCGCGGAAGACGGCAGCCTGGACATCACGCCCTGGAGCGAACTCGACAAGGTGCGCGCCGTCTTCACTCGGCTGCCCGGCACACGGCTCGCTTGTGCTTGCTCAAAGCGGGCGGCCTCGTATGTGCTGGTGGCTGCGGGTGGTTCCACGTGGCGGTTGCCTGTGTGTGTGTATGTTGAACTCCTTTCGCACCGTACCTAGCCAACTGCTACTTGGAGGTGCAGCGGAAGGACAACAAACTAAACACAAGAAGCAGTTCTGAAGAAATACATTTTCAATCGAGATTATTTCAAAGTGCATAGCTCAAGTAAGTGGCTTCCGAATATCGGAAGGAAGAGCGTTCCAGACGACTGCAGAAGTGCATCTGAATGCGCGCGATGCCGTGACAGTCTTTGTTCGATGGCTAGCCAAAGCCGCTGCGAGGATGACCAGAGTTCGCATGATGGTTTATGTTCTTTGGCGAGATCAACAAGGTATTGTGGTTCATTTGTAGCAAGCACTTTGTGTGTAATGAGTGCAACCTTATAATATATTCGTTCGGCAACCAGAAGTCAATGCGGCTCGGCGAGGCCTGGACGGACATTGTAAGATCTTGCAGTACCTGTCACGAAGCGTGCCAAAGAGTTTTGCCAGTGGATGAGCACAAGCCGCTGTGGTTGGTGCAGGTGGAGGACGGCGAGGATGATGGGGGCGGAAGGGTGTACCACCTGGCGGCGTCCGTGGCACATGTGCTGGACCAGCGCACCGGGGGAAACCTGATGGCGCACGTGCGTGTTGGTGAAACCTATCACCATCGGAAGGAGGTGCGAATCCACACGCCCCGGAGGGATGGAGGGCAGTATAGGAGAGGGGCGACAGCACGGCGATCAGTCACGTGGTGGAGGTGCACTCTGTGGTTTTGTGCCCCCTGATTGTATGGGGCAGGTGTGACAGGCACAGTCACTGCATTTGTCTTTAAACAAAGCACAAGGGTAATTTAATTGTCTGCATTCTTACCAACGGGTGGGGTGAGTGTTGGCACAATGGTTATCACACTGTGGTTCAAACCCGACGTCCTGAATTCGATTCCTAGCCAGATCGGTGGTGAGTGATAAATAAGCCATCACATCCCGTGCCCCACCCCCTTCACCAGCCTGTGCTGATGAGCGTGGTAAAATATGGTCAAACAACTCCCATGACTGATGGTGTGAAAGGCCTTCACCCAGCACTCGAGACAGGGCTGTACATTATCGTCCTTATCATTGTTTCTGCTGATGCTGTCTCTGACATCTAACATGTGTTTGTTCCCCAGGGTGTCACACACTTCCAGTGGTATCTCTTTAACGACTTTCTCATTGAACCTATTGATAAAGTAAGTGACCTCATTTTTCTATTATTGCAGACACTTTGAAGCGTTTATGTTTAATAAGAAATTGTGCTCTCGGTGTAGCTTTTGTTTATGGCTGTCCTGTGCACATGTGTGAGCAACCCCTGGCTCCATGTCACACTGATTTTCTGAACTGTAGCTTATTTCCACTGTAGGATAATGCGTCTGCATACTTCTTGTACTGACGCACTGAAAGCTGATTTTCGAGTATGTAAATACATTTACATATATAGCACTGTACTTTTAAAACATGACTAAAACACAGCTTGTAATTGTAGCAAAGTGTTAATCGAAATATAATTCAACAAGCAATTGTAAAACAACCTCATTAGCCTACAGAGTATGTATTGCACGAAGAACTGCGGTTTGCGTATTCCGAGCAAACTCTGATGTGAACGAGCGAAAGTGGTCGTCCGCTCTTGCAAGACCCGTTGCCAGGTGGCTCGGCGGTCGAGCGAGCGGCTCGCAGTCCGAGAGTTATGGAGTTCCATTTCCTGGGTGGGGGTTAACTCAGGCGATCGGCTCTCTGGGGTCGATAAAATTAGTATCACCTTGTAGGGAAGTCCGGTTTGTCCTATGGAACGACTTGTCCGCCCCCCCATAAAATACGTGGAATTTCCACCACTGGCTCAGGGCTGTAAAAAGGAGATGAGCACCACCTCGGTGCTCAATTGAGCAGGAAATCACTTCGATTTTTTGGAATGAGCTTCCGAAGTTTATTATTCGAGTAAATTACCTGTTGAGCTTACACAGCTCTTTGTTTTTTAAGGGTGACTCGGCTTGCTCGGACAGATACAGCGGCAAGTGTTAATAAACAAAATATAAGATATAAAGTCATTAAAACCAAATCATCGTTCAAAACAATTACGTACGTTCGCATTTGTATTGTTTCTACCTCAAATATGAAAGTCTCTGCCCACCAGTTTGAAGCCGTGCAGTTTGACGTGAGCTGGAAGATCCCGTGCGTGTTTTACTTTGTACGGCAAGACCTCAACTCCAAGTACAATGTATCAAGTGAGTGAATATCAGTGAGAGATTCGGTGAGTGGCTCTGTGAGAACCAGGGAACTTGCACAGCCCTCCTTGGTGCCAGCTGTCTCCGGCATTGAGGCGTCGAGGTGGCGAGATGTTTACTCCCTCACCTGGTATACAGGAGGTCGTGGGTTCAATCCCGACCCTGACGCATGTACTTGCATGTTCTCCCCGTGAACATGTGGATTTTTGTCCGGGTCCTCCGGTTTTTCCCCCACCGCATTTAGAAACACGCGTTTAAGATTATTTGGCTGCTATAAATTTCCACACTATAAGCCACTTCGTTGAGCAATCATTTGTGATAGCCAGGTCCCTTGTGAAAAGGAGCTACATAGCTCAGTTGGCCTAACCTGGTACGGTAAGAATAGTTTAATAGTTTTATAGTAGTGCAGTGACGGTGGCTCTCGGTCACGTGACACGGCCGCACCTCTTGGCCCCCAGTCAAGAATCCAATCGAGTCGAGTGTGCTGCTGGCGGAGGCGTCTCTGGCCAGGAAGCAGCGCAAGCGGAACGCCACCTTCATGCCACTGCAGATCTCGGAGCTGCCGCACAAGGGAGACCTGGTCGGCCTCGACGCCGAGTTTGTCACCCTCAATCAGGTACGGGATTTGCGTACAGCGTGTGCATTACACCCGGTACACAGCACGCCCTGTTAAGCGTGTACTCCTGCCGTAGATGCACTTTGCCCCGCTCTCACCAGGCAATAAACGTGTAAATAATTAATAGATTAAAATAAAATTCTTAAGTCAACCATACACGCATCAAATCATACGTGTAAGAGTATTTCATACACAGACAATTGAATGATCGGGACAGAACAAGCAAGGCAGATAATGCAAACGATATGGATAATATCGGTGAGACGGGAGAATTGATTCGTGAAGCGAGGCACGGGCGAGGTGAATTGTGATACTTCCCAGATATGTTGCATACAAATGGGGGACATCTTCCAGCAGGAAACAGAGTATGCCCCTGCTGGGTGAATGAAATATTTGTATTATCATCGGGAAAAGAGAAATTAATCTTCATCCCCGCATGAGTGAGGAGGGATCGGCCTGTGCGGTGCTCACATGCGCTGCATCTTGCAGGAAGAAGCGGAGCTTAGGAGCGATGGAACAAAGTCGACCATCAAACCCAGCCAGATGTCGGTGGCAAGGATCACGTGCGTGCGCGGGCAGGGCGCCCACGAGGGCATTCCCTTCATTGACGACTACATCTCTACTCAGGAGCAGGTAAACACCCTCACCAACCTCACCGCATCTGTTAAAGATCTGCCTGCACAACACCGGTTGGCTTCGAGTAATAAACACGCAAGCGTAACTCATTGAGGACGGCTGAATCATCCCACGTAGGTCGTGGACTACTTGACCCAGTTTTCGGGCATCAAACCAGGAGACTTGGATGCTAAGGTCTCATCCAAACACCTGACCACCCTCAAGTCCACATACCTGAAGCTGCGCTTCCTCATCGACAATGGAGTCAAGTTTGTTGGGCACGGGCTGCGCAAGGACTTCCGTGTCATCAACCTCATGGTAGGGTGGTGTGAGGAACGCGTTGCCGGGGTTTGGTGGCTGTGCACGTTTTTGTACGTGGATGTGCAATGCACTTCACCAGCGATTTTATCAAAGTTAAAACTCCATCCCAGCACAGTCAATTATTCGACATTCGCCATTCGGTGAATACGTGTTTTGGATCCATTCTACGTGTTGACAACTTAATTTATGTTGTACTTATGTAAAGTAGTTGACGTTTCTGCACGAACGGAAGGTGAATTTTGACAAAATATTGTGAACTCAAATGGATGCTGAACCTTCGAATAGGTTTTGTGCTCTCCAGCTGCCTTGAAGATTCACTCGGTGTGTTGCACTGGTTAGGTCCCAAAGGAACAAGTCATCGACACGGTCATCCTCTTCCACATACCCAGGAAGAGAATGATTTCTTTGAGGTTCCTGGCCTGGCATTTCCTTGGTACGTAACTATATACGACGCATTTACAAATTACTGTTGCTTTGTGCAGCAAATAGCCGCATTTAAGGTGACATTGATCATGCTGACGAGCCAGCATTACACGGGGGTGTTTAGTCATCAGTCTTAAGCGGCCAGAGGAAAATGTTCAACTCATTCAGCATTTTCCAGGATGGAACGAGACCAAAAAAAAACCTCTGCACTAATCACTAATAGCAAACACGTACATTGTACATGTTGTGGATTTGCTCTCCAACACACCGGTGTGCTGTACTAGTAACAAATTGGCACGTTCTGTTTACATGACAAATCTTACGAATTGGTGGTGGTGGGTTTAACGACACATTTCCGCGATCTAACCCAAAAAAAACCTGTATTTTGCACGTACACTATCCTAGCATATCAGGTAAACTGAGAAAATTTTGTCAATTAAGTTTCTGTTAATGTTGAAATGATGACTCGAGGTACCGCTTAGTTTCTTTGCAGTTGTACTGTTGTCCAAACAACACGTGGTAAAATCCGGAAACACATTGGAGAACGGCGACCTGGAAGATTTGGTTTGTTGTTGGCACGTTGAGCCATGTGCTTTGGCCAGAGGTAATCGGGATCCCCGCGTGCCGTTGCCCTGCACGTGCTGGAGGAGGAGGCTGTCATATGGCCCTGTGGCTATGTGGGGGGGGGGCTGACGTCAACTCGCATAACATTGGCATACATATGTTTTAATGTAATTATACATTTTTCTCGCGTATCCGGTGCTCCGCACAAAAGTCAAGTGGAGAGAAGCGGTCGCTAAATAATCGGCATCCCCCTCCCCTGTGCCGCGGCAGAGCTGCACATCCAGGCGGAGACGCACGACAGCATCGAGGACGCCAACACCGCGCTGCAGCTCTACAGGAAGTACCTGGCGCTCAGTAATAACGGTCACGACGTCGACGGCTTCCGGAAAACGCTCAAGCAGCTGTACGAGGAGGGACGCAAGCGTGACTGGAAGGTCCCCGAGTAGCCATGCTCTGCGCCGCGCTCGGCCTGCAGCGCCTGCATGCGCTGCACGAGCCGCTGCACAGCTTGGCATGGCTCCAGGCGGCTTGCGAGCAGCGAGTGTGAGTGAGAGGTCAACCCTTTTTAAGCGTCATCCCAAGGCCACCTGTCAGCCAATATACACTACTGTACTTTTGCCACACTGCTACAAACACAACTCTTATTGTTGGCCGTCATTTTTTTTAGTTGGAAGTCATTTTGCGATTTGGACCCCATCGTTCATTTTGAAGATGTATTGATGTGGACATTTTGTAAATACTGCCTTTTATAATGTTACGTGTTTGTGCGCACGCCACTTGCAACATAATTTTTTAAATGAAACCCTTTTGGTCGACGATAGTTGTGAGATGCACATGCGCCTATGTACTTAAATAAATGTGAAGATTGTTGGTTTGCGTTCATCACGTTTATTTCAGGTCCCGATGAACGGGTCCGTGGTTGTCCTGTGGGTGTATGTTTGTTCCACATATCGGTGCCATGTCTGGAAGGTGGTCGGCCTTCTGCTCCCAGAGCAGCCTCGTGTATTGTAGGCGGTGGGAATTGACAGCTGTAACTTGCGTTGCACTTTGAGATTCACGAGTCATAATTCTTTATTTAAGACAGTAAATATTTTAACATGCCCCATTAAATGGTGTGCTTCCACCATTGTTCATGTAGTACACATTAACCTTTTTTCATGGTTAAACATATGCCTAAGATTTGTTTTTTCATATTTATACATTTATGTTTATACAAAAACATGTGGATGTTAGTAGTGGAATGTATTACTTATACTCGATTGCCCAGAAAAGCCTCCACGAGGGGGGGGGGGGGGGGTCCTGCCAGGTGTTTGCAGTAGGGGGCGCCGGTTAACCCAATTGAGTAACTTGCAGGTAATTTTTCACCGTTTCGATGTGTGGCCATCACCAGTTACGTTGTGAGAAGACATTGAAGAGAACGTGCAGGAATGGGTGCACAACAGGGGGAGAAAATACAAAGGTGCCCAAGTTGGCAATGAACCCAGAGCGTTGTTGACCAGGAGGCACGACTGCTACCTCTGCGGCCACCCTACCGCCACGCTACCGCCACGATTAATAACATTGAGGTCAATAAGATAGTCTTGTGTAAATATCAGAGCTGGAAGAATGGAATGCAAGCTGTGGCAGTCATCTATAAAAAAAAATGTTCTCAACACTTTCAACTATATTTTACCGGGTGAGGCCTACCACTGGGCTCTAAAGCTCTTTTTCAGAAGCGGCCTGGCCACAAATAATCGCTCAACAAAGTGGAAATTTATAGCGGCTAAATACTCTCAAACGCATGTTGATTCTCACTGTGGAGGGAAAAACTGGAGGACCCGGAGAGAAATCCACACGACCACGTGGAGAGAGACACGCAAGCTCCAAATATCTGGGTCGGGATTGAACTCATGATCTCCTGTATACCAGGTGAGGTAGTTAACACCTCGCCACTTACCTGGGTATGATTAGCTCATGACAACTGGAATTTATTTTTGATTTAAAGCTTTCGTGACTGCAGTAATTCATATTCTTAGTTTTTTCGGTAAAGTCACGTTGAAGGGAAACAACAAAATAATAAAATATATATAACAATAAAAATTCTCACGACGTTTCGACCACACCTGAAGACGACCATTTGAGTTATGGTCGAAACGTCGTGAGAATTTTTATTGTTTTATATATATTTTATTATTTTGTTGTTTCCCTTCAACGTGACTTTACCGAAAAAACTAAGAATATGGAATTTCTTTGTTTCATTGATAGTTGCGTGAAAGGCTTCCAATATTGGACAGAGCAGTCATTGGATGTTATTCAAAGGCAGTTATGCAGAATCTTAAAGGAAAAGTTATTTGGTGCGTGCGTCTCAATCGACTTGTGCAGCTCGCATACCTATCAACGCCTAATCAGTGCCTTTATTACAGACCAAGTCAGACCTTATTGGTCACCCCTTGCCCTTCATCCTACAAAGTCCCGTCACAAGGGAGAAACAAAGGCTTGTTTTTGCCTGAATTTAAACGGCTGTTTGCCGTATGGACCAATAAACTCAATTTCCCTGTACAAGAATACGGGGTAAACCGCATGAGTTGACGGGTATGAGCTCGGAGCTGGCTCCCACAGGGAAGCTCAGCCACTCGGCAGAGGACTCGCTGAGTGCACACGAGGCGAGTGGCGCGTCCATCATCGCTGCAATCCTCAGCCGCTCGTCTGAGCGGCTTGCAATGACAACAGTCCATTAGGGGGGCCCGTCTTGTCCTCGGGGTGGCCTTAAGGCTGCGATGAGAATATCACAAGCGGTGGTGCTGTGCGTGTGTACATTGGCCTGTAGCGTGTCCTGAATAACGGGTGACGCAGACACCACGTACAACAAAAAATAATATTGACCACATGTTCAGGGAGAGGCTGCAAAGCGCAGCTGGGTCCCGTGCTGCAAATAGACTCCCGTGAATATGAAGACAAGCCTGCCACACGTCTCCCACACTGTGTTTAAAACAGACTCGTCCACACATCTTTCACGTTCGTCAGAAAAAAAGCCAGTCGGCGAGCATTCTTTTTTTAGAAACCCCGGACAGTGCAAACATTTAATATACATTACGTATACAGTAAGTGCGTTACGTATAAGAATAGGTTTTACTACTGGTAGGATAGGCGAGGGGCCGTCAGTTTATGCTTTCCTCTGTTTACGTAAACATCGCAAAATAAAAAGCAGGAAACCGCTCTTGTTGGATTACATTTTTTGTAGCAAAAACGCGGCTTTATAAATCCTTCATTTTCTTCCCACCAGAATATCTGGTTAACTTTTTTTTTTGCAAATAAATAACTACTGCATAAAGGCCTCGATATGCACAGCGTTCTACACTGGCCAATAAAAGACTAGGGATAAATGAGATACAATTAATGAGATACTAGTTACCTATTACTGTATACGTTATTGCAAAGCTTTGTACTGTGCAGAAATCTTATAAACAAAGCTAAACATAGAAAATGTCGGGACGTAGTTTTTAAACATTACTGCAGAATACACTTGTAGATATATCTGCAAGCAGTTAATCAGAAAGACTGGTTAAATAGGTGGACGCTAAAAACATCTCGGGTTGACAACTTCACTGGTGCATGAGTCAAATGGAAGAATTCGAAATCACCGGCACGTAAATGTGTATTACAGGTCAGGAGAGAGATGCCCACAAGGTACACATACAAATCTCAGGAAATATCTATTGCATGTGGGTCATGAATGGATAGCTTTCGGTGCAGATATGTGTTTTTGGGTCGTGATGTTAAGGATAATTGTATGGTCCAAAACATACGTAAAACAATCATATCCTAACGATAGAAATGACTTTGCAAATAAAGTTGAAAATACTTTCGATGCAATACATTCAAAGTGTTAACAAAAGAAGTGTTCTGTCAAACACTGTACAACGTTAAGTAAAAGACTGATCACTAGCAACCTAACTTCTGGGAAAGCTAGGAAAACGTGTGTCAGGTCAAGCCCTACGGTTCATAGAAAGCGAGAATGCCAAAAGATCCTCCCACCCACCCACCCACCCCCCGTCACACACACGAGCGTCCACCGCGGGCACCGAGCCGGCCTTCTCGGCCGACACTGCCCTCAGTTTCCATCCTGGGCGTTCTTGGCCTCGGCAGCCTTGGCCTGGTCCGGCTGCGAGGGCGACGAGCTGCTGTCTGGCACGGCGACCGCAGACTCCGTGGGCTGCTCCTTGGCGGCGGTCGCCGCACACTCCTTCAGCTTGCCCTCCTCCGCGGGCTTCTGCGCGCCATCGTCCACCTTGATGGAAATGGACAGTACCTTTGGCTGCTTCGGCTCTTCCTTCTTCTTGGGCTTCTCCGTCACGTTATTCTTGGACCTCTGCTTGTAGAACTTGAGGTTGACCTTGGGCGGCGCGCCCAGGTCTGGCTGACTCACTTGTGGCTGCGCCTCTGGAGAGCTGCCCACCGTGGGCTCCTGAGCAGCGGGGGCGGCGGCGGCGGCGGCGGCGGCGGCGGCCACATTTCTGGAAGAAACCTCTGTGGAAGATGACGGCGGCTTTCCATCCTCACGTTGCTTGCCGACTGCGGGCGTAACAGTTTCTAGCCTCGCCTTCTTTGGCGGGGGGACCGATTTCAGCAGCGGGTCTTTGTTTAACTTGGGTCGTCCGCGCTTTCGTTTAACCGGCACGCTCACGGCGGACCCACCCGTTGCCGCCGCCGCCGCCCCCGCCAGAGCGAAGGGCAGCTTCACCACGATGCTCTGAACGAGGGGGCTGGCTTGCTGGTCGTTTCGGGGTCTGCCGGGGGACCCGCGTCCTCTGCCGATGCTGCGGAGCACCGCCAGGGTGGTCCCCCTGCCACGCCCCCGCCCTCGGCCCCGGCCCCTGCCCCTTCCTCTCCCCCTCCCGAAACCCAAAGTGCCGGAGGCCGTTTTGGGAAGCCGTGGGAGTCGTGGAGACCGGTTACCACGGCCGTCCGAGCTTCCTCGCCCTGCCACCGTGAAGTCAAAGTCCTCCGGCTTGAGCACCACCTCTCCCGTCTTGCCAAAGTAACTCCTCAGCTCGGCGTGGGAGCGAAATTGCTTCCCTTGGGGGCTGCCAACGAGAGGTGAGACATGGCACGCAAGGTTGTATTCTAAAGCCACAATATCCATGGCAATAAAGTCTACCAACCACCGGTTGAACAATAAACAAGCCGCTTCCCACTGGAAATACTGCACAAAGTCTGTAAAGTAGTTGCTCGTGTTCATTGTCGGTGAGAGTGGCCGCTAGGCAACTCTTGGCAGGGGACGCACTCCATTAGGTGTTCATTTCAAAAGCAAACAGATTCTTACGCGAGATAAACAGCACTTAAATAGTGACATTAAGTGGAACTTGGGTAGCTAGCCAAAAAAACTAAGTTGAAAATATTTTAAACGACCAAAAGCTTACTTAAAACATAAAAACATCTCCATGTAAATACCGGCCAGATGGCTCCGTGGTAGAACCAACTCGCAATAAGGTTACAAATTCAAATCCCAGTCAGCGGTTGACCCATAATCCCTGCTAAAATGAGTACATCTTTGTGGGCAAGTCAACAGTGGTTGTCCTTTGAAAGAGACTGCCTGTTATCGTGGGAAAGTGGAACGTTCACCACTGTCTCAGGGGCTGTAAGCAGAGGCTCACCGCCTCAACGCTCGTTTGAACAGGAAATCACTTTGACATTAACGTCTCAAGGCCTTATCAAATAGCATCCTGTGAACTCCCAACGCCAGAAGACGGCGGGAATGCACTCACTTGAATATGTACACGTCATACTTCCCCGCGGACCTCCCGGCCTTCCTCTGCTTCAGCCTCCTGACCCAGCCCTCCGGGAGTGACGGGTCGTCAAAGAGGGGCGGAGGCGGCCCCCGGCTGCTCCTTTTCCTCTTCAGGGGCGACGAGCCGATCCCGATCCCCTTCACGACGCTTTCGACGACGGCGTCCACCGAGTTGCCCTCGCCCTCGCCCTGGCCTCTGGGCTCGTGGATGAACAGCTTGTCGCTCTCCTCCTCCTCCTCCTCGCGCTCAACGGCCCCGTCCTCTCTCTCTGCCGCCGCCGCCGCCGCGGCCGCCGCCTCTTTTCCATCGTTGGAGCGCTCGTGGCAGCTCTTGTCCACTTTTGGCTTGTCCGTTTTTACAAATTCCTCACTGCAGAAACAATCCCAAGCCCACGTCGGACACTGTATTAGAACCTTCCGATGCCCAATGCACCGTCAACACGCTGAGCCGGTGCGGTACAGTCTGTTCTCCTACAACGCGCGTTTCCATCACGCGAATAGGATACACCGCGATAGATGTACTGCAACCGATTTTTTTTTTATTTTATAACGCGGATGTGAATTGGATACAATGGCAGTCCTCGACTTCGGAACGCCTGACTTATGAACACCCGTAACTTACGAACCATCTTCCATGAAGGGAAAAAAAAAGTAACATTGACTTAAAACACAAACTCGTAAAAAGCGCGGAATTATTTTGTTCAGAGGAGCGATCCTCAGCGAGATGCAGCGAGCGGGCCTCGCACTGGGAGTGTTTGCGTGCGTGCGTGCGTGTGCGTGAAAGTTTCAGTGTGGGGAGCGGTAGTGTAGCGGTTAGCGCGCTGCTCTGCAAAAGCGGCGACCCGAGTTCGATTCTTGCTAACGGTCTGTAAACATCACCACTGGGGAGACAAAGGCGGCCGGGAGTGGTTTTGGCCAACACCCACTCGTACGCCATACCGGCCTTCATAAGTGCAACTCGCAAGCAGCACTTGCTTCTACAGTGTGTTAAATCTATACGGGGGGGGGGCCTCTGTCTTTGCGTGCGCGTGTGTGTCTGTGTGGGGGGAGCGGTCGTGCAACTGTGAGCGCGCTGCCCTACGAACCTGGAAACCCGAGTTCGATTCCTGCTCACGGTCAACACCCGTGACTATTATCTGAATGGGACCTGGGCCTCCCCTAGGTCGAGTCAGCCTCAAATGAGTACCTGCTGCGGTGTATAAACATCACCGCTGGTGAGACAAAGGAAGCTGGGTGTGGCGCTGACCACCCGCCCCCTCGTGTGCCGTGCCCGGCCTTCACAGGTGCTGCTCACTAACAGCACTTGCCCCAACAGTCTGTTACAGGCAACACGGGGGATCGTTGTCGTTGGGGTGTGTGTCTTTGTGTGTGTGTGCAAGTTGGCTTAGTAGGGGGCCACAGGTGGTGCATCAGCCAGTCATCTCAGTCATCTTACTCGACCCGTGGCACTTGGGTCTGCCTCGTGACCTCCTGCCAGCGGGCGTTCGACAGTTCACGTGGCCTCAAGGTGCACATGGCTTGGCACAAGCGTCGTGGTGACGTCACCGCCACTTAGTGGCGAATGGCGGTTGTTGTTGTGTGTGCCCCGTGTATGTGTGCCCCGTGTATGTGTGCCCCGTGTATATGTGCCCCGTGTATGTGTGCCCCGTGTGTGTCTTTGTGTGTGTACCCCGTGTATGTGTGCCCCGTGTGTGTCTTTGTGTGTGCCTCGTGTATGTGTGCAATTGTGGTGACTCATTGGCTCCCTTCCGACTACAAGCTTGCATCAGGACTCCAGGTAAGTAGAAATAAAATGTTTTCCTATTTGTGTTACTTTATTTTATGTTTTATGTACTCTCTCGTATTATTTACAGTGTTACATGCCAATGTGCAATATTTATTTCCTATTTATGAGTTTAACAATGCTTCCCTTTGTTATTGCACTGTAACACATTTCATAATACCGACCGTAAAGGACATTTAAATACGGTGCATTGCTGTGTTCTGACTTACGAACCGTTCGACTTACGAACAGGTCTCAGGAACGAATTAAGTTCGTAACCCGAGTACTGCCCGTAACGTGATCGAGTGAACAGAACTACGTCGCGCAAGTAGGAATAAGCGGTTGTACGGCTGCCTCGGCGTAGCATCGCAGGAGTCTGAATGCTGCTGGAAGCTTCTAGATGCTACCCACGCGCCTCAGTCTTTGTTCAACCTGCGTACGCATCTCACGTGATATCGCGGACTGCGCTTTGCCCTATATTATTTATTGTAACGCGGTTTTTCCATAATGCGGTGCTCTTCAGGAACGCAACTACCGCGTTACATGTGCGCATGTTGAACTTCTGTCCCACCGGACATCGCCAACCTTGCAAATCGGAGGTGCGGGGGAAGGACAACAAACCAAACACAAAAAAGCAGTTTGGAGAAATGAGTTTTCAATCATGATTTGAAGGTGCATAGAGCTCCAGTGGCTTCCTAATATCGGGAGGAAGAGCTATACGAGAGCAGACTGCACTTGTGATGTCCCTTTGCTACTGGCACATCCAAGCTCAGCCAGCGCGGGGCCCTCGTGGCACAGATGGTTTTCCGCCGGCTATTGGCTGTGCCAAGCCAGGAACCAAACCGTGATAGGTGTCCTCACATGGCACCGGTGATCTGGCTCAGAGCCAAGTGGTGGAAGGAGGTGGGGAGGCTAATGACTCATCCATTGCAGTAACGCGAGTACACTATTCTCACTCAGTGTCGCCATCATCGACAGGCGACTGAACCCGCTCTTTGCGTGGCACGTCAGACCACATGCGTCCTTGTATTTTCACATTTTTTTTGTCCCGATTGCGGATTTGGTGTCACGCCATGAGTTGAAGTGCCCAACCAGTCGGAACTCTCGCAAGAGCAATGTGAGAGAATGCCCCATGGAAGTGGACATCACAGAGCCACCTCTGAGACCCCTTTTAGTGATCTCTAGGCGACGAACAAGAGGGCAGTATACTCTTGGTTCTTTCGATAAGGTCACGTTGAAAGAACCAAGAATATGAATCACTGCAGTCACGAAAGCTTTAAGTCAAAAAGAGGGCAGTACTTTCCCGTCCGCTTTACATGGGAGTAATTTTTTGTTGCTGTAACAGTCAAAAGAATTAAGTGCGGAACCAAATGTAATGCGATGTTCTTTTTGTCCAGTCATGGGTGACGGGGCTGAGACCAGCCATTTGAGAACTCGGTGAAATCTCAGGTATACGCTTTGGTTCTTTCGGTAAAGTCACGTAGGTATAATATACCTTATGTGACTGCAGTCACGAAAACTTCTAGATTAATCTCAGGTAACTGCCTGGATTCTAACCCAGGATTTCAGCGGTGCCAACTCGGCTCTCTGACCTCTGAGCCACTCAGCCTCTCCTCCTCCAGCCACATCGCCAGGAAAATTGCAGACATTGCTTTTGAGCGTTATTTTTTATTGCTCCGACGTAAATGTAATCTAAACTGCGGCTTTTGTTTTCAGTTGGCTGGCACAGACTCCAGTTGTGTATTTTTTAACGGTAACGACTGGCTTCAACGCACGGCGCGCAAAACTTGACAATTGCACCCGAGGCGCATCGCATGATGACAGCAAATCAGTGTCCAAACTGAAAACAGAGAGGCACGTGAATCTGCCATATTTTGCACTGCCTTCCTCCTTGCGAGCCCACGCCTACTACGAGCCAGGAGGGCACCACAGCTCGCAAACGCGTCGCAAGCGGCGACGCGTTCCTTGGTTGGTTTTGGCGAGGATAACCCCGACGGCGATGATGGTTTGCCGCGTGTGCTTTGACGAGCACAGCACCTCTGCTGCAAAACAAGCTCTATCGGAAGAAAAAAAAAAATCCACATTTTTAAGCCACGAGAATATAACAAATTATTCAGTGTTAATATAGGTTAACAGACATCGGAAAACCGTAATCCATCGGTCATGCCCTCCTTATGGAAGCACTTGAAACGTGCACCTAGGCTACAGTGAGCGATAATATAATTGTTCTTTCACAAGGCTGCAGGCTGCAGTATTATTCATCGGTATTACAAATTAATTGATGCGGTTTAATACGATCTCAGTTGATATTGATATCTTTAGAGTGGAAATCATTCCCCGGTTCAATGAGCTCAGTAATCCAAATACAAACCTTACCCTCGTATAAGTATTAACCAGCAGTGTTAACCAACAGTATTAGCTCGGGCAGTGCCGGATGCGAACTGCAAACCTCTGCAACAAGCGGCGAACGCACTACTGCTGGACTACGTCACTGCCCCATCTGCTGTACGAAACGGTATGATGCTATAGGGAATGGTATGATGCTATAGGAAACGGTGTGATGCTACAGTGAGGGAAAAAAGTATTTGATCCCCTCCCTCATTAAAATGCAAATCAATTTATAACATTTTTGACATGCGTTTTTCTGGATTTTTTTGTTATTCTGTCTCTCACGGTTCAAATAAACCCACCATTAAAATTATATACTGATCATTTCAGCAGGGGATCAAATACATTTTTCCCTCACTGTATAGGCAACGGTGTGATGTTATAGATGCTACAGGAAACAGTGTGATGCTGCCCTTTGCCCATGGCATTACACGTGCAGACTCCTCGAAGCAAGGCTGAGCGGATTCCATGTTGAGGTTTAAAATTTAGGAGTCTTGGCTTTGCCAGGTAATGCTTAAGTTCCTGGTCCCATTGACTTAAGTTGTTTAACGAAAACTACTGCACAGTTTTACCAAATTATACGCGTCACTTAATCCGTGCCAGCCGGACTAATTTATTTTTTACAACAGTAAATAGTGTCAGAGTTTTCTATGTTTATTCTTAACGTAATTCAGCCACTAAATAAACATATATAAATGGAGGTACCCATACAAAGAGACTGATTAAGTGGAGCATAAATAGTAAGTTGGAACTTCATTCTTGCCTGGATGCCATCACCAATTACTGGAGATATCAAATGGCACGGACATTAAACATCGCTTACTAAATTACTTTAAGTAGACGTTACCAAGTAGGGCAAATACTCGCCATCAGAGGGACTTCATGGTGGCACACTGCAGTCAAGCATGATTCAAACACTGCGAGGCTGGCTGTGCCAAAGACGTTATCTTTACATCCCGTCTGGATATGTGCTACATTCATAACCACAGCCACGACCAAAGGCCCACTGACGAATTCCATCAGCAGGCAAGTGAGGGGGGGGAGGTGTCAGGGTTTGATGGTAAAGGGTGCGTGAGCACGAGGTGTTACGTGGGCCCTGGTCAATCTTCACCACGCACTGCTGCTTTGGCACTATCGGTGGTCCCCTCAATAGCAGGGCCGCCCGGAGGTTCCCAGAAGCCCTGGGCTGCCATGCCCCTTATTCCACCGTCCACTTTGTTCAAACCTACATCCCATGTCTCCAAGACAAAAGACCACGAGTACACTTATATTTGCCAAAATTTAAAATAGCAAACTTTTGCGATGCAAGAACCCTGCAGTGGAGCCCTCGTGTGTTTTTTTTGTGAGGCCCGAAAGAAATTGCCACTTTTGCCTCCATGCTAATTGGCCCCGACCCTAACTCAGCCCCAACCCAGCCCTAAACCATCCACAACCCAGCCCTAAACCAGCCACAACACAGCCACAACCCAGCCCTAACCCAACGACAAAATAGCCCTAAACCATGCCAAACTCAGCCACAACCCAGCCCTAACCCAGCCACAACCCAACCCTAAATCAGCCACAACCCAGCCCTAACCGACCACAACCCGGCCACAACCCAGCCCAATCGGTACCCTCGTTCCCCTATGCAATATCCATATCGCGCTCATCACTGCGTCTGTCCCAACACCAACAGCGCTTTGGTTTCAAAAAAAGGTGGGGGGGGGGGGGTGTGAGAGCCTCAAAAGAATTCACTACCACGGAAAGTGGAAACGATTTCGTGTATACCGGTTTGTGTATACGTACGGATAATCAAGTCAAGTTTATTTCGAGCAAGGCGTGGTGAGCCAGGAGGCTCCTTTTTCCAATCGGGCGCAACGGGGCAAATAAAAGTGGATTACGTTTTGAAATACTTACGACTCGTGCTATTTACATCCTTTTAATTAGCAACTTAAATGTTGGCTGTGCATTCTAAAGCTGGTACCAACAAGTAAAAAAGGTCTTTAGTTTTGATTTAAAGCTTTCGTGACTGCAGTAATTCATATTCTTAGCTCTTTCGGTAAAGTCACGTTGATGGGAAACAATAAAATAATATTGGTCTTTAGTTTTGTTTGGTGGGGGGAGGGTGGGCCGGCCCAAGGAACTAGCGGACAGCTTCGTCGCTGTTCCTCCCGCCCGGGGATCCACAGTCTTAGGGACCGGCCCTGGAGGACCCCCGCAGAGGAGTCGGCAGCAGCAGCCAAGCTGAGCGTGGGGGGCCACCCGTTCCCTTCCTCGTGGTGCCCACTCATCACGACGACCCCCTGACCCCTGGCGGCCCCCGAAACAGATCGCAGCGATAACCGACTTGGGCTGGAACGGCGCGGCTGGGCTGGGATTCCCGCTCAAAGGCGCAAAACGTCTCCCACAACCACCACGACTACAACAACCACCACAACTACAACAACTACAACAACCACCACTCCCGTCAGAGGCGCTCAAATCTGCCCCGAGCGAGCGGCGCCATTGACATGGGAGGGCCCCCGTGGGGCCCCCACTACTGAGCCCCCCACTACTGAGCCCCCCCCCCACAACTCACACCCACCCAGACCCATTCTGAACAAGAACGCGGCGGAGCCACAAATTAAACAAAACTCAAGAGCCCCGAAATCATCCCCCGCTCGCTATCGACAGCGCTCGGCGGTGACGGGGTCGATGGTGGTGGTGGGTTGTGGTGGGGGGGGTCTCTCCCCTTCTTCATCCCCTTCGCTTGACGGCGCTAACAGGGAGACGCGCCGCTCTTGACGCCCACGCCGCCGCCGGGGGCTCTCAATGGCAAGCGGAGGTGGCGGCGAGAGACGACGAGACGGGGCGCACTCGGGCCCACGGGAGGCCCCCCCGGTCTCCATGGGGATGCGGCCACCAAGGGGCCACCCCCTACCCCCCTACCACACACACACAAACAGCTCGCGGCCGCCAGAGACCGAGAGACGCCGAGAGGGAGGGAGGGAGACGACGAGAGGGAGGGAGGGAAGGAGGGAGACGCCGCGGCTAGCTCGCTCGCTCGAGCCGAAGGCGGTCGCGACGTCGCTCCGCGTTGAGTTGCCGTGGTGGGGAGACGCCGCGCGCCTCGCCGCCTCCGCCGCCGCCGCCGGAGACGCCGCGGGGCCCGGACCGGGCCAGGTGCCCTCACCTCAACTTAGTTTCGCTCGCAGTCGCTGCCATCTTAGCGAGGCCGAGCTGCTTGGCTGCTATCGCGAGAGAAGCCGCCCGTGACGCAGTCCGCCGACTCCCGCCGCCGCCTCCCGCCGCCGCCTCCTCGCCGCTGCCGCCAGGTGGCGCGCGGCGGGCGGGCGGGCGGGCGGGCGCGGGCACTCTGGCCCCGCCGCACGCCCACGAAGGCATCGTGCCAACACAGCACTGGGCAATAGCCATGCCACCTCAACACTGGGCAATAGCCATGCCACCTCAACACTGGGCAATAGCCATGCCACCTCAACACTGGGCAATAGCCATGCCACTTCAACACTGGGCAATAGCCATGCCACCTCAACACTGGGCAATAGCCATGCCACCTCAACACTGGGCAATAGCCATGCCACCTGAACACTGGGCAATAGCCATGCCACTTCAACACTGGGCAATAGCCATGCCACCTCAACACTGGGCAATAGCCATGCCACCTCAACACTGGGCAATAGCCATGCCACCACAACACTGGGCAATAGCCATGCCACCTCAGCATTTGGGCAATAGCCATGCCACCTCAGGATTTGGGCAACAGCCATGCCACCTGAACACTGGGAAATAGCCATACCACCTCAGCATTTGGGCAATAGCCATGCCATCTCAGCATTTGGGCAATAGCCATGCCACCTTAACACAGAGCAATAGCCATGCCACCTCAGCATTTGGGCAATAGCCATGCCATCTCAGCATTTGGGCAATAGCCATGCCACCTCAACACTGGGCAATAGCCATGCCACCTCAGCATTGGGCAATAGCCGTGCCACCTCAGCATTGGGCAATAGCCATGCCACCTCAACACTGGCCAATAGCAATGGGACCTCAACACTGGGCAATAGCCATGCCACCTCAGCATTGGGCAATAGCCATGCCACCTCAACACTGGCCAATAGCAATGGGACCTCAACATTGAGCAATAGCCATGCCATCTCAGCATTGGGTAATAGCCATGCCACCTCAACACTGGCCAATAGCAATGGGACCTCAACATTGGGCAATAGCCGTGCCATCTCAGCATTGGGTAATAGCCATGCCACCTCACCACTGGCCAATAGCAATGGGACCTCAACACTGGGCAATAGCCATGCCACCTCAGCATTGGGTAATAGCCATGCGACCTCAACATCGGGCAATACCCATGGCACCTAAACACAATATCATGTGCTTCATGGCCATTGCTCAGTGACCATGGAGGCCTCGGTCGCCAAACGAGTGGTTGCTGGCTTCAAGGGTCACGTCTTGATGTGACGAGAGGCGGATGCTCTTCAGTCAACCTTGGTGGGTTTGGCTGATGTCGTTGAGGAGGCGAATCTTGTCGTCCCGTGTATAAATGTCGAGGCCGTACACTTTGCGTTATCTGTACGTTGCTTTCAACGTGACAGTGTCAGCACCCCCTTCGAAAGCCGACTCATCATCACGAACGGTTTGGCTTTTTCTTCCCCCAAGGAGGCGCTTGCATAACCAGCACCGCGCGTCGCAGCAGCACGACAAGCTTTCATTGCTTTGATCGGCCAACGCTTCACGTCCACCCGCAGCTGACTGACGAAATGGTCCTGGTGAGGATTCATAATGGGCTGGATGGGTCCCGACAGGACGAAATCCATCGGGCTCGGCTAAGTGTGCCGGACGCTGCAGTGGTCTGCACGCTCTATTAATCTATTGCTAATCTATTAATAGAGCGTGCACATGAGGATTTATTGTGGTCCGCGATAGTGCGGGGGGTTACGTTCATGGTAGAAGAAGTGGGGGGGGGGGGCAGATGTATGCAGCTGAAATCTGCAACGCTGAGCAGCGCGCAGGCGCTGAGGCCTCGTGATGCAGATTTCTGTACAGTCCCCGACAAACACGATTAGCGTGAGATGGCGCGGGTTTAGAGCCAGGCGTCCAGCAGCAGGAAGCCAGATTTGGAGGTTTTACCGGAATGGTATCGCGTAGTCGTGCACCATTGGGCCATGTGACTTATTTGCCCCGATTTCAATCTCCAGCTTCCACCCGCCCTCATTCGCGTGCCCTCTCATTAATCCCCGCACGCTGGAAGCCACGCGTCCCCTTTTAACCCAGTCGCGTTTTGCGGCCCCGAAGCAGCAAAACGGCCCCGTGGCTGGAATTTCGACTAAACGTCAACAACAATGAATTAAATAAAAACATTCCCAAATGCGGAGAGTTAACTTTTTTTTCTGCGAGAAGACTCGAGGGGCACCTGCCATTCCGCACAAGAACGCCGTTTTCCTTGTTCAGAAAAGAAAAAAAAAGATTCCACCTCTTGTATCTTTTAAATGTTGACTTGTAACACTGTAGATGCATTAACCATTGAGGCTCCGGTCATTGATTATGCTAAGGTGTGAGATCAAATGTCTGGCTGAACCCGCTGTGCAAAGGATAACAGCTCTCAGATTTACTGACCGGTAAGTTTCCATTAGACTCATTAATGACTGACGTCCAATTAAATATTCATGAGCAGTTTTCACAGAACTCGATTGCTTCCAGGGCAGGTATCAGACCGCTGGCACAGGCACGAGTTGGGCTCAGATGAAATCGCAGGGCATGGCGGGTGGTGGGCCGCAGCTGTGCAAAGCACGGCAACTCGGTGTGGTGGCTGAACGCGCCCACGTCGATGCATCTTCACTGCACACTTGTCACTCACACTGCACACCTGTTACTCACACTGCACACCTGTCACTCACACTGCACAGCTGTCACTCACACTGCACACCTGTCACACTGCACACCTGTTACTCACACTGCACACCTGTCACACTGCACACCTGTCACTCACACTGCACTCCTGTCACTCACACTGCACACCTGTCACTCACACTGCACACCTGTCACTCACGCTGCACACCTGTTACTCACACTGCACACCTGTCACTCACACTGCACAGCTGTCACTCACACTGCACACCTGTCACACTGCACACCTGTTACTCACACTGCACACCTGTCACACTGCACACCTGTCACTCACACTGCACACCTGTCACTCACACTGCACACCTGTTACTCACACTGCACACCTGTCACTCACACTGCACAGCTGTCACTCACACTGCACACCTGTCACACTGCACACCTGTTACTCACACTGCACACCTGTCACACTGCACACCTGTCACTCACACTGCACACCTGTCACTCACACTGCACACCTGTCACTCACACTGCACACCTGTCACTCACGCTGCACAACTGTCACTCAAGCAGCACACCTGTCACTCACACTGCACACCTGTCACACTGCACACCTGTCACTCACACTGCACACCTGTCACACTGCACAGCTGTCACTCACACTGCACACCTGTCACTCACACTGCACAGCTGTCACACTGCACGCCTGTCACTCACACTGCACACCTGTCACACTGTACACCTGTCACACTGCACACCTGTTACACTGCAGACCTGTCACTGACACTGCATACCCTGTAACTCACACTGCACATTTGTCACTCACACTGCACACCTGTCATTCACACTGCACACCTGTCACACTGCACAGCTGTCACTCACACTGCACACCTGTCACTCACACTGCACACCTGTCACTTACACTGCACACCTGTCACTCACACTGCACACCTGTCACTCACATTGCACACCTGTCACACTGCACACCTGTCACACTGCACACCTGTCACTCACACTGCATACTTGTCACACTGCACACCTGTCACTCACACTGCACACCTGTCACTCACACTGCACACCTGTCACTCAAGCTGCACACTTGTCACACTGCACACCTGTCACTCACACTGCACAGCTGTCACACTGCACACCTGTCACTCACACTGCACACCTGTCACACTGCACACCTGTCACACTGCACACCTGTCACTCACACTGCACACCTGTCACACTGCACACCTGTCACACTGCACAGCTGTCACTCACACTGCACACCTGTCACTCACACTGCACACCTGTCACTCAAGCTGCACGCCTGTCACACTGCACACCTGTCACTCACACTGCACAGCTGTCGCACTGCACACCTGTCACACTGAACACCTGTCACTCACACTGCACTCCTGTCACTCACACTGCACAGCTGTCGCACTGCACACCAGTCACACTGCACACCTGTCACTCACACTGCACACCTGTCACACTGCACACCTGTCACTCACACTGCACACCTGTCACACTGCACACCTGTCACTCACATTGCACACCTGTCACACTGCACACCTGTCACACTGCACACCTGTCACTCACACTGCACACCTGTCACACTGCACACCTCTCACACTGCACACCTGTCACGTCACTCACACTGCACACCTATCACTCACACTGCACACCTGTCACACTGCACACCTGTCACTCACACTGCACACCTGTCACTCACGCTGCACAACTGTCACTCACGCTGCACACCTGTCACACTGCACACCTGTCACACTGCACAGCTGTCACTCACACTGCACACCTGTCACTCACACTGCACACCTGTCACTCACGCTGCACACCTGTCACACTGCACACCTGTCACACTGCACAGGTGTCACTCACACTGCACACCTGTCACTCAAGCTGCACACTTGTCACTCACACTGCACACCTGTCACTCACACTGCACACCTGTTACTCGAGCTGCACACCTGTCACTCACACTGCACACCTGTTACTCAAGCTGCACTCTTGTTACACTGCACACCTGTCACTCACACTGCACACCTGTCACTCACACTGCACACCTGTCACTCACACTGCACACCTGTCACTCAAGCTGCACGCCTGTCACTCACACTGCACACCTGTTACTCAAGCTGCACACCTGTCACACTGCACACCTGTCACTCACACTGCACAGCTGTCACTCACACTGCACACCTGTCACTCAAGCTGCACTCTTGTTACACTGCACACCTGTCACTCACACTGCACACCTGTCACTGACACTGCACACCTGTCACACTGCACACCTGTCACTCACACTGCACACCTGTCATTCACACTGCACACCTGTCACTCACACTGCACACCTGTTACACTGCACACCTGTCACACTGCACACCTGTCACACTGCACAGCTCTCACTCACACTGCACACCTGTTACACTGCACACCAGTCACACTGCACACCTGTCACTCACACTGCACACTTGTCACACTGCACACATCACTCACACTGTACACCTGTCACCCACACT